TTTTTTCTACTGTGGTACTGGTCTTACTTATGTGAAAGCACCACAGTAAATCTGAAACAATCCATCACTGATGGGAACTGGGCTGTGCAATGCCTGGTTACTAGGTCACTTGCAACAGGCGATCTGAACTTGCCAACCTTCCTGCCTCCTGAGCACAAAGGCTGGTGGGTCTCCTTGGACAGCAGGCATCAATGCACTCATTCCACTGTGTTGAGTAACAAGGGACCAGTGTGGAGAGGAAGAGGTTAGCACAGGACATCCCAGCTCTGCCATTCACCTGCTACAGGACCTCCCACCCAATGGCTGAGCCTCCTTCTGGTTTTGGCCTGTGAATAGGGTTAGGACCAGTCTCTTCCTCTGTGCTGTGTCCAGCATAATGGGGCCATGATCTCTATCATGGCCTCTCAGTGCTTTTTAATCCTGCATTCAGTGTCTCTATTTGCAAGAAGCTGCTTCCTATACTCCAGGCATGATACACTTGCTTTCTTAGCTTTTGGAAAAAGCTGCCAAGCTCTCCATCCCTTTCCAGAACAAGTCTGAGATGTTTCCCTTCATGCTGTAGTCTTTCAGCAGGCAGTCTGGTTTTGATCTCACCCCACTGCAACCTGCCCACATGGGCCTATCCTATAGTCCTAGTTGCTTTCAAGTAGGGATGCTGTCATGACGTAGACCAAGGTAACACCAGAAGGCATCAGTGGAGGGCAAGGCTGTGCTGTGCTGTGCTGTGAAGTCACCAGTAACAACAGTCACCCCTATGGTAGAGTCAGACCCTCTCTGTTCAAGTGTGGCCCACTCTACAGAATGTCTGCCAACCCCTGCACACCCTCACCCCCCCCAAGTTTGGAAGGAGACCCAGGAATCCCACACCCGGCACTACTTATTAGATTGCAAGCCCTCCTAGACCTTGGGGAGGGGCTGGAGTCCTGGCACATTTGCCCCCACCCCCTAACTCTGGACAGCACCACCTCACCAAGCTGGGAACGTGGCCCAGGAGTCCAGACACCCAGTCCCTTTATTTTCCAAGGAGCAATGTTATTACACCCCCACTCCTCCCCATCATGGCAGATTGCCCACAACAAGTTGCACTATTTTAAGCGCAAAAGAGAAATGAAGCAATCGTTGACCCTCTGCAACCTGGAACACAAGAGGCACTGGCTGCAAAGCAATGGTCAGTCCATAGGTAACTTTTATTTGACTTATTCTGTTTCACAGAGCACAGGATCTCTTTAAAGAGAACATACACAAAAGGAAGATACATACAGACCAAGGTCTCTGCAAGTTCTCCTGGGCCGGGCGAGTGAGGAGCCCTTGTGACCGTGTGTCGTATCGAGCAGGGAGGGTAGGGGGGTGGGTGGGATACGGTCGGTCGACAGCATGCAGCATAGAACAATACCAGACAGGCCGCTCAGCCCCACCCTGACTGGGCGGTCAGCTGGGTGGAGGCGGGGATTATACCACATGGCAAATTTCTGCTTTTGGAAGAAAACTGACCGTAGGGGACTAGAACGGGGTGGCAGTTGGTGGGGGGTCAAAGGAACAGGCCTGGAGTAGCCTCAACTCAATGACACAGCAAGAACACTCTGCACACTGCGCCCATGTCACTGGGCAGGGGAATTCGTGCCGAGGACCCAGGGCAGTGCTGCAAGCTGTCATACCGGACTTTGCGCCATGGGACTGAATCCACTGAACCCCTGGACGTGCCAGGGGAGGACATGGGCAGCATCAGCCCCATAGTTGGTTTGTTCAGCATGTGTTCTCCTCTCTTCTCACTCTTTTTAACCCAGTGTTTTGAGTTCTCATCAGCTCTGAGGTAGATTTCACATAGGAGATGTGGGAAAAGTATGGTCAGGAATAGGCAGGGGAAAGCTCTTGTAAAATGCTGGCAGGCACCTCTTTAGCCCTTGACTCCTTCCCCCAAGGAATGGTTCCTCCCCCAACTGCAGTGGGACATGACTTCAAGATGATGAGAATCCTTGGGCTACTGGAAATGCCTACAGTTATGACTGGTGGGCATGTCTGCAGCTTAGCCAGGTAAGGAAGTTAAGCTCCCCGCCACATCTATATGGATTTGCCCAGCCCTGCCCATGTCTAGAGAGTTAACTCATTTAGAGCAGCTGCTGAAAGGGCCTTTAACAGGCCTGTTCTGCAAGCACTTAGGGTACCCACCAACTTGGATGTGAGTGGAGACCGTGGTTAAAAAATTGCTCTGCATCTCACAGGATGAAGCCCTTGCCAGTGCACTCCCCCCATTTTTCTGAAAAAAGCAGTGAATGGGAATATTATAGCCCCATCTGCCCAGAATACACAGAACTAGCTTATACACATTTGTCCTCTCCTAAAGACCCATGTCCTTCTGTAGCCGGGTCCCAAGTGCCCTAGGTCGGCATGCCTCTCTGGCAGTCGGCCCGCACCTGCCTGCCCTCCCAACATCCAAGTGGCCTGATTACTATCAGAGGCAGGGCAGTTGAGAGACAAGTACAATTAAGGGGTAGGCCCACAGTCTAGTCAGAGGAGGCAACCTTAGGTGCCTCTCTCTTTTCACATCACGGGGCCATCCCTGCTTGGGCCCATGGAATGGTTGGTATCAGAGGACCTCACCCACCTACTCACTAGTTCTGCAGGCTCCCTGGCCCAGCCAGCAGTACACACGGCTCTCAACCCACCACCTGTTCTCCTAAGCTAGCTAGCCCAAAGCAGCCTGCAATAACAAACAGACTTCACACTCCCTCAGCAGCTTCTCACCCTCATCCAGCCACCCCATGCCTTGCAGAAAAGGTGTATGCAGCCATGAATCCTTCAAAATGAAAAGCTTCATCAAACTTAATTCCCTCCTGGGGTGCCTTCTCCCTAAACCCTCCCCAGTTCCATTAGGCTTCTCCCAGCTTTGAGCCTAATCACAATTACAGCCTTACATCTGCAATAGGTAGTAGGGAATTCCACTTCCAAGCACTGGTCAAGCCTGACTGACCAGTTATCCCTGGAGTCCAGCTTATATAGCCCCAGGGACTGCCCCTTCTGACCCAAAGCAGTCTGGCTTTAAAGGCACAGTTCCCTTCCTCTACTCTCATGCTAACTCTCTGATTCACTAGTAACAGGGTTAGGGGTCTCCTTTTACACCAGTGGTTCTCAAGCTTTTTAGACTTGAGACATCCTTCAGTAAATGCCAGCTCTTAGTTTCCCCGGGTTTGTTTTTTTTAACTATAGAAAAAAATAACAGAATGATTCTTCTGTTGCAAAGAGCTCAGAAAACCTACAACAGGTCAGAATGTTTTTAACACTACTGATTCCTATTAGAAATTTCTGGGTTTATTGTGTGAATCATGTTCGCACACCTAGGAGTGTGTCTACATGTGTGCATTTACTGTGCAGTAACCAAAATTGCTGGGCAGTATAGGTGCGCATCTACACATGCATGCCTATACTGCACAGTAAATATGGCAACTTAGGCCAATCTGAGAGTAAATTTGATACCTGCATCATGCAAGTATCAAATCTACGCTCAATTATTTATTGCACACTAACGTACATGTAGATGCATTACTGTGTATTAAGTGCATTAATGCAGTGTGACTAAATTTAATCCCAAATCAGTCCATGCACTGCGTTAATGCGCTTTAATGCCTGCACACGTGGATGCCTGTGTATTCCCACTTACTACACAGTAAATTTAAGCCACTGTAAATGCATGTGTAGACATACCCTAGCAGTAGCAACACTGAGTGGCACCTCACAGCACCCTCTTAGCCAGGGTGCTCTGGCTTCACTACAGCTAAGTAGGGGCTGAAATCCCTCTCCAACTCATAGATTGTGAGGCTAAAATGGATCATGATGGTGATCTAGTCCCAGGTTCTGCATGGACGTGCCCTTGGGTGGGGCAGGAGTGTTGGTTACACGTAACACAGGCCACAAAACCTCACCAGTAATTTCAGCATCCAAGCCATTGCTAATTTAACAGGCTTGCAATTCTGAAATCCATCTCCCCAGGGCTTGGGCCCTAGCCACAGAGCACGTCTAAGCCCCCAGGTAGTGAGGTCAAGGCTCACTGCAAAGCCAGTCACAACCTTGGCTGCAGGTTGGCCCTGATCTGATCTCTGCAGAACAACAAACCAGTGGAAGAAGTTTGAAGCCCTCTACCTGGGCTGCGTGGAGTGCCTTGTTTCATCCTGTGAGATGCTGGGCATCCTCTGTTCCATAGCTAGAAGCTCAGAGCCTGCATAAACCCCCTCTGAAAAGTATCTGAAGCAAGGAGCTGTTGCTTCCCCTTGTTGCTAGAAGGCTCTGATGCCCACAAGGTATGCAGAGAGGGGTATAAGGACCATGGAAGAGTGGGGCAAGAGAGCAGAGCTTATAGGCAGGAAGTTGTTTGGTCCTTTTACCTGGTGAGAGGAAATACTCCTTTTGTACTGTATTACTGATCCCTTGTGCACTGGGAATGGGGTGCTGGGAGTTCATGGCTGTGGGGTTAGCGCAAAGACTTACGTGATACTGAGCACAAGTTAGCCACTCCCTCTCTGCCTGGTGGGGGCAACTAGCTGAGCCAACTTCCATTCTAAGGAAGCCCTTCAGGGTTAACCAAAGCCCCAGCCCCAGCCTCTGGGAACCCTCATGACTTCTCCATCTCCTTCCTTCCCTTCTTGTGCTTCTCTTTTGACTGAACTGTGAAAGGCACTGTGACTGCCCCCCACACAACCCTGTGGACCCCCTCCCAAAATATGGGCTTCAGACCAGGATTTCCCAGAGACTTCTCAGCCACGAGCTGGCCCTGCTACTTCTGGGACCATATTCAAAGGGGGCGACGAAGTAAGAGAGAAGGGCCAGGCCAAACTCCTGGATTCCCATAACCCTCAACATATCAGAGGTCTAGCTCCAATTCCAGCCCCAGTAGCAGTGGACTGGGCCCAATTTTAGACAGAAGAGCAGGGAGGAAGGGCCAGTTTGCTAGGAATTGCATTGTGGACACTAGCGTCCATGAGTGAACCCTATAGCCCAGCTCATGCACTGCCAATAGAGAAGGAGATCTCCCTTCCCTTCCACTCCCTTCCCTTCCCCCACCTCCCCCCAGAAAAACAGTTTGGATGAATATTTGGAGGTTCTGCAGCTGAGCTAGGAAAGCTGATAAGGGGCAAAGGCAATGTTGGAGGAAAGGTGAAGGCCAATGGCATCTCCACTACTTGGGCGGCAAGTGTAGGTATGCCTGAAAAATGAAGGAAAGGGCCAGATCCACAGATGGTGTAAACTGACCTGGCTCCAATGAGTTCACTGGAGATCCACTGTCCTGAAAAGGGCAATCCTGAGTTACATCAGCTGAGGATCTGGCCCAGCAGAGCCACCAAGGTCTGTCCCCACCTTCCCAGTGGATGGTTCTTTTCAACCACACCGATACTGTTACCAATGTGCAGGGTCCTGATGGAGCATAGATTTACCCAAAGAAACAAAAAAACAAAAACCGGGTCATGTGATGAGATGTGGTATATATCCAAGGTGTCTTCCCATCACGGGTGGTTTTGATGAAAGACTCTACATACCTTCATCATGACCGTCCCCATGGTGCGAGCCATGTGCATGGGGAGTTGGGGAAAGCTGGCCAGTTGAAAGAGACTTGGTTTCAATCACAACAATGCGGATATGCTCAGTAAGGCCAGAGAGAGCTAGCGGATCGTGGATCCACACCAGTAATCACCATGGAATTAACATTATGCCACCATGACAGTATCACATGCCATCACGGGACTGCAGGAGAGGTGACATCGTGACCATGATGTGGGACACAAGAGTATTCTGGGTTTATGAAAACTAGCTACTCAAAGCAACGTGTTGGTATGAAGAAGGAGAAAACAGTACATTGAGGAGAATATAAATGCACCAGGGATGTACCGAGGTCTTGCCAGAGTCAGTGGTGGAAGTGTCCACTGACATCACAGAGACCAGGACACGGGCCCTAGCAAACATTGAGTTCAGTGCAATATTACTGGATTTCCATGCTGGGCCTCTGCAAAGTGGGTTTCCTTTCTCGGCAGCATTGTTGCAAGGAGAAAGGGACTTTTAATGTAAAAGACTGGAAAGACGCTCGAACCAGCAGCAAGTAGCTGAAATGCATTGGTTTGAAACTTGTCAAGACCAATGCTCAAAATAATCAACTAGCCCTGTAACAATTAAACCCCCAGGAAAAGGGGAGAGAGAGATCCAAGCCTCTGGGTCCTTCCCAATGGGCACAAAATTACAGGCAAACTCTCCATACCTCTCACCTGAGCACGTCAGTAAGGGGCAGCCCCTCAGTTCACCTGCCACTCAGGGCATGTGTGGGGGGATCCATCACTCCCTCCTCCCTGAGGTCATCCAGAGAAACCAAACTGTGCAGCGAGAGCTGTGAAGGGGCCTACGGAGAAGGGCAGATGATTCCTTCTGTCAGAAGCCACGCTGAACAGCTTGACCTCCAGTGCCCAGACTAGAGTTCCTCCCAGCTGGTTCAAGCATCAAAAGGTATTGCAGATCCTATTCTTCCAGGGGACAGGGAGGAGGAGGAGGGGAAAAGAAGCCCACTTAGAAACGAGGCAAGGCGGGAGAGGGAGAGGCGAGACTCGTGATTCAGTCTGTCCTGTAGCTACTGAAGACTTGGAGGTATTTAGGGAGCCGTGTTGCTCCGCGAGTTTTCATGCAGCATCCAAAAGGGGACCAGGGCATAGTAAGGAAGTTGGAAAGAGGAGTGAAGAGGAGCAGCCTCAGATCTTACTGTTCTCCAGGTGTGAATCAATGTGCTTTATCAAAGCATCGTCCGGGTAACCAATGGGGAAGGCCAGCTGGCACAGCGGGCAGCTTCGGATGTCAGAGTCCACCGTCTCCATCAGCAGCTGTGGGGCAAGAAAGGACCTTTTGGGTTAAAGGAGGGGCAGAGGCCTGGCTGAGATAAATCAATTGATTTGCCCCAACAGGAGTCAAGCCCATTAGATCTGTGTGTCTTCCCCACCACCCCATGTACTGCAGCATAACTGAAAGGTCCCAAACAGTGGAACTTCTGCCATTACCCTTGCAAAGCCATTCCACAGGTCTCCCCCTCAGTCAGCTGTGCTGGGACATTTTCACCCTAAATTTCCCTCTTTCTAGTTTCACCCCATTCCTTGGTATTAGGTGCTACCCTATATCATCCTTCCCTGGCACCTTTTCTGCAAATGTCACCTCCCTCCAGTCATCCCTCTGCCAAGCCTGCTAGGCTGAAGAAGCAGGCCTGGTGAACTCCCATGATGCAGGAATGGACTAGGTCAGGGCTCTCCAACTTATTTGGCTCTGTGGGTCAGATCTGACCCATGGGGCTTCTTGCAGACCCACCTCCAGTGGTGGGGCAGTGGTTTGTCAGCCCAGATGCTGGAGCAGCTACACTGGCTTCAGAGCCAGGGAGTGAATGACACCATCTCTCACTCCTGCTTTTCCCCTGCTGGTGATATGAATCACCAGTGGCAACTGAAGACTCCAAATCCAGTGGTGGGCAAGGGGGCTCACAGCAAACAACAGCCCCTGGGATCTGAGGCCACACCAACAAGACTCAAAGGATACAATTTAGCCTTTCGTGGGCCACGTACAGCCTGCAGGCCACTAGCTGCACAGCCCTGAACTAGGCTGCATTCCCCCAGCAAATGCCTGCAGACGGGGGTCCAAGAAGCAAAGGCTCAGATCCACATAGGGATCCAAAGCCCTTAACATCCTTAGCTATGTGGAGCTCAGTTCTACAGCCTCTTGCATAATCTTCATCACCAAGGCAACCAAACAGCTCACATACCCGGATCAGAGCAGGCTCCCTGCTCACCCCCTCCATGCTACAGGTTGGGGAACTGAGGCAAACCGCAATGAAGTGACTCCAGCCCAGTCAGCAGAGCTCAGTGACAGAACCAGGAGCTGAACCCACACTGGCTCCATGTCTTAGCCTCTTCCTCCGCAGGGGACTGTCTGGGTCCAAGATTTGGGTTTGGACCCATTATTGGGCATGAAAGGCCAGTCTTTTGCTCCCCAGGGCTCCAGGTTTGGTGCTGCAGGGGAACAGCTTGCAGTGGGGCTCAGGAGCAGAGAGGAGGTATGGCAGTGGGAGCAGAGGGATACAAGGGGGAGGAGGGGAGGCCAACTAGCGCTTACATTGATTGATGGCCAGGACTGTGCGTGCTCAGCCCTGGAGTAGGAGGCAGCTGTCCGGTGTGCAGGGGGGTCAGGGATAGGGAAGCCAGCGCAGAACGAGGCGCAGCGGATAGCTCCAGCCTCGGGGCTGGGGGGGCTGGGGACGGCCCAGTCGTCTTCATCTGAGGACTGTTTCTCAAAGCGCAGGTGTTCCTCAAAGGCGTCTCTGGCACTCAGAGGGCCGCCGGCACCCCCGATGTAAACCTCGCCGTAGGGACGGTGCTTTGGTAGCGTGGAGGCCTCAGGCTGCAGCCACAGGGAGCGGTTCTGCTGATACATAGCAGCGTCGCTCACCTCTGAGTAGCTGCGGCGGCCTTGGAAACTGGCTTTGATGTGGTGGCTCGACGGCTTTGAGTACCCCAGATCCATCACGTTTCTTTCGCTGCCAGGCAGGGGCCTGTGCTGGGAAGCAGGCGATGGGCAGGAGGGAGCTGGAGAACGACGCTGCTGGGCAGGGGACTGGCTGGGAGGGGGTGCCGGAGAGCGACGCTGCTGGGCAGGGGACTGGCTAGGGGGTGGCGCTGGCAAGCGACGTTGTTGGGCAGGGGACTGGCTGGGGGGGACTGGAGACCGCCGCTGCAGGGCAGGAGAGGGGCACTGAGGGACGGGGGACCGTCCCGGCTGAGCTGGAGAGGGGCACTGTGGTGCGGGGGAGCGGCGCTGCTGGGCAGGAGAGTGGCGCTGTGAGAGCGGAGAGTGCCTCTGGCCTGGAAAGCAATAGGGACAAAGACCTGGATCAACTGGAGAATGAATGACCCGCCTCACCTGCTTCCCACAGGAGCCCAGACAGGTGTGCCCACAGGGTGCAGGTCTGCCTGAGCCTTGCCTGGATCCCTGGGGACAGGTTTCCTGTCAAAAAAAGGGCCTGCATGCCTCTTGAAAGCCACCTCCTTAAGATGGTCCCTTTAGGCCCTTGTTCTCCATAATGAAAATCCCCCCACTCCAGCCCTGCCAACCTGGCACCAGAGGACACACTCTGTCCTTTTAGACTGTAAGCTCTGGGCCCTTTGGCTGAGGGGAAGGGTGTCAAGCCCCCTTTGGAGCCCTTTGGCCCCTGTTCGATGTCAGGCCCTCCAATCTCTGTACCCCTCTCCTCACTATACACCCCGAATGACACCCCATCCCGTTGCAGTGGAGGCTGCACTCACCGCCGTTGATGGCCTGCTCTTGCAGCAGCGTCCTGAGGATCTGGCTCTGCAGGGAGCTGAGCTTCCTTAGCCGGCACAACTCCTCAGTCAGCTCAGTGTAGGCCAACGCCAGGTTCACCCTGACACAGAATGAGATGGTACAGCATAAAGCAAATGTCTTTTGAAAAGCCTCTGGCTTGGCATGAGAGGGGCTCCCCCCCAGCTCCACCGAGGCGCTGGCTCCTCTCACCTGTGAGGGTAGGCTGGGGCCACTGGGGTAGGGGGAAGATTTGGCAAGGTGACATGCCCGGGGCACTTCTCTGCACTTGGCCAGGCTGCTGAGCACAGCCATGAGGCAACAGGGGTGGGATGTGGAGAGCAGATCAGGAGCACAAGGGCAAGGGAGAACTACAGTGGGACAATGCATCTGCATGGGCAGCTTTGCCTGGAGAAGACTCATTTTGGTCAGTTCTTCCAGGCTCCCCAGGGCACCTCAGGTTCTAGGGGTCTTGCTTTCCTTTGCCCCCACGCCCTTGGCTTGGATTCACCCTCTGAGCTCCCTTGGGTGCTCTCTCGGCAGCTCTAAGCCCCCCTCCCTAGCCACCTTGCAAGTTCTGAGCCTGGCTCTCAGCCCTAGTGTGAGCTCAGACCCAAACTTTCTACCCCTTGCCCCATGAGAACCCACTGCCTCCTGCTCATCTCACCCCAGATGACCCCAGCAGTCCCCACCTCTACATCTTGCTCTGAGACAGCTGCAGATGGGTGCCACACTCACAAGGGCCAGGGTCCATCCTTCCTGGGGTGACATAACCCTGCACACCCTATTAGGGTCACAAACAGGCAATCTAGGCTGCCTGACTCCACAGAGCCAGTGACAAAATCCCAAAGCCAATGCTTAAAAACTACGAAGGGAAGTCGTCACTAGCTGCTTGCCAAACAGGGTCTATGTCATATGGTGCAACAGCTCCAACTATAACCAAGAAGAAATCTTCCCTGTGCTGCCCCCCTGTCCTTCTCCATGTGGGGCAGGGAGGGTTAATTTAGTGCTCAGAACAAAGCGGCTTGGAGCTGCTGCCACGATACCCATAAGAGTAATAAAGCTAGCTCTGATCTGCTCAGCTCTGGGATCTTTGTCCCTTTCCCCTTCATGAATAGCATGAACACAGATAATCAGAATGAGGTTAGAACAAAGGTCTGACAACAGCAGGCAACTGGTGGGCAGAGACTGCTGCTCAACACACCAACAACACCGTCTTGCTCCCCCATCTGCCTGTATCCACCAGCTGTATCCTGTACTGTACTGATGCTGTGGGCTCTTGGGGTGAGGACCCCATTTTGTTCTGGGCTTGCACAGCACCTAGCACAAGGAGGGCTGGGGCTGTCAGGTGTTCCTGAAGTACAAAATAAGTGCTAGGGCCACATGTTGCTGTTAAAAGAAAATAGCATTCAGGAGTCTCAGCTCTTGAACAAGTAACTCATTGTTTTGGGTTGGACTGTAGTTTCAAAAGGAAAAAAAAAACAGAAAAAATTTGAAACCAAAAAATTGAAGAAAACATCATTTCAGGCGACCCATACGTTTCATTCAACCCAAAATTAAACGTTTGGTTTCACTTTTGAGCTTTTAAAAACTTTTGCTTCTTTCTTTTTTTTTTACATCATAGAAGGAAATGTTGAAATGAAACATTTCCAATAAAATAAATCAAAATATCTCACTTTGCAATTGTGTGAATGAAACATTTTTGTTATATTAATGTTTCACAGCTCGCTTTTTCTTGCCAGCTGACTTGGTGAAACTGACACAAGTTTGCAAAATATTGCAGTCCACCAATATCGCCATTTTTCAGTGGTGTAAAAAAAACCAACCCCAAAGTAGAAAGTTTTGGTCCCCAAATCTGACCCATCTCTCTTCAGAGATCAGTCAGTCCTCTCAGTCTGTTTTACAGATGGGGGAAACTAAGGAAGTCATGCAACTTGCCCCAGGCCACCCAGTGAGCCAAGAATGGAACAAATAAACAACAACAACAACAATGCAAGAGACAGATGATGGCTCTTTTCTCCTGCCGGGCTCCTGTCCCATCAACGCCTTTCAAGCGGGCCTGACAAAGTTGTTAAATCTCGGAAGTCTCCTGGACTTCTGTGTCACCTTTAAAAAACATATTCTTTACCTTTATATGAAAGGAGAACCTGTCTCATGAGGTTACAGGGGGGACTGTGAGGCTGGGCATGTCCTTTGCAGTGAGCGCAGGCAAGTTACGCTGAACAATTGTGACAGTGAGGGGACCTGGGAGCTGCCTCATGTAACAGCAGTCGACAGGTCTCCCCCTCCTTGGCTCTCGCCCGCCCTTCAGTGTGTTGTGAGTTGTTGTTCCATAAGAAGAAAAGACGCATTATTCATTCCTGCCCTCCCTCCCAAACAGCAGCAGGTTTTCCCTTCGCCCCCCAGTTCACTGGACATTTCCCTCTGGGAGGGCGTGATTGGTTATGCTGCCGTACGAAGCAGGATGGAAGGAGGGTGAGGGGTGCGACAGGCGGCGAGATGAGGTGCCCTGAAAGGTCAGCCAGTGAAGGACTGTAATTGGTTTACAAACAACTGGCAAGACAGGCGCGTGTAGGATGACCCCTTGTGTGCCCTGGAGGGCAGTAGACGGGAGTACAGTTCAGAGAGGATGGAGGACCTCCAGCCACAGTCTGTGCTACAGAGCCAGACCTCCACAGCTCCCCCATGCCCCGTCACCTGCTAACTGCTCCTATTCTTCAGAGACAAGATAAGGGTGAAGGTCCATCTCAGCACAGTTCAATCCCTAGCTGCAATCTCTTGTGAACAGAGCTCTGGGAAATGCACAGTTTTGGGAAGAGATGGAGGGATGCACATCAGGCCTTGCTGTTTCCTACAGGATGCAGGTCAGATACAGTGTTGTCTCCCCACAGCCTATATCCACCCAAAGGTACCTCCTGTCAAGCCTGTGGCCCCTCAGCCACAGCCATTGGAGCTAGGGCTTCTGTCTGCTGCTACTGAACCACATCCCCTGGCCATGAAGGGGCAGCTCAAGAGACCAAATGGCATCAGGTCTCATCTCCTCAGACTTCCAAGGGCTCCAGCAGGCACTGGGGATGGGGCCTACATGGGCTTGCTATGGCCCTAACCTCACTGCTGACAGTGACAGCCTCAGAGGCCTTGGTCAAATCACCTGACCATTCAGGCTTGGTTTCCCCTCACTGTGAAATAAGGAGCCCCCATGGGTCCCCTCATTAGTCAAGGCAGCATCAGATGGGGAAGCCACGAGGCTTACCAAAGTCATGCAGCAAGTCACTGTCAGTGCTGGACAGTGCCCAACACATAACGGCACCTTCCCTCTGCATTTAGGGTGCCAGCACACTGCACAAGTACCAGTTACACGTAGCAGGATGGGAACAGAGGAAACAAGTACTTTGGAAGTTTACCATAAAGAGGCCATAGGCTGCATGTGAGTGGAGGAGACCGGTGAACAGTTTCCCCATCTTTTTCATAGTTTCTAGGGTCGGAAGGGACCTGAGCAGATCATCTAGTCCGACCCCCTGCCATGGCAGGAAGAGCACTGGGGTCAAACGACCCCAGTAAGGTGGTCATCCAACCTCCTCTTAAAAACCCCCAGGGTGGGAGCCTGCACCACCTCACTTGGAAGCTGGTTCCAGACCCTAGCCGCCCTGACCGTGAAGTAGCGCCTCCTGATGTCCAACTTAAACCTTCCCTCCGCCAGCTTGTGACCATTGTTCCTGGTCACTCCTTGCGG